AGAGAACTTCTATTGAATTGTGAAATTATTGAACAGTTTAATGTAAGAATTAGGCTCAGATTCTATAAAATGAACTTTCAATCTCAGTATCTTCTTTCTTCTTTTTCCTTCAAGCTTGCTTGATCAGCTTTCCAGGACAAGTGAAGACCCATTCTTGCTTTAAGGCACAAGAGCTTGTTTAACAGTGTTAGGAATGCGACTTGCATAATAATCATAGTTCCTCAAAGTGGCAAGAACCCCAGCTGAATTCATATGTTTCACTTCTTTGTTATATTGGAATGAATTTCCATGGATATCAGTTATCTTGCCTGCAAAAAAGGAAAACATTTTATTCCAACAAACAGGATTTGCAGACAGATAAGGTACTACTACAAGTAATGTAACAAAAACACAGAAGGTCTTCATATGTACAATACATTTTCTGCTCCTTTTTTTAAGCACAGCAGCCTTTTCTTGGTTAAAAATCAAACAATTTAGGGCTTTCTTTTCTTTAAGCAATACTTAAATTCCTCATATTTCAGAAAAGAAAAATAACCTGCATCTCTTACACGTTAATTAAAACTCTTCCTGTGACTTTTACACATTGACTATTGACAAGAAGGAAAGGAAAGCACAATCTTTCGTTTGTGTAAAAGCCACCATGATGTAAAAATAAAACAGCTGATTTCAAATGAGTTTCTAGATACCACCTAAAATGGAACAACAGAAATTTTTAGGCAAGCTAATTTAACCAAGAGGTATCTACATAATGAAGGGGCTAAATAAAGCACTGGGCTGCCCCAGATTGGCTGTTTCTCATGCCTGAGCTAACCTGTTTAAAGCTATGCCAGTTAGCAACACTATGCTGTAGACTGCAGAGTAGATAGATAAATCACACCAAGCCTATTAAGTTTGCTTGTCAGAATTCAGGAATTAATACAACTTCATTTTAGTTGCTGTGCAAGATCTGCCAACCTGAACATCAGAAAAAGTATGATAATCATCAATTCTTGTTAGTCAGGCTTTTCCTACTTTTCTAACCCCTCAATCCCCAGATTAAGTGGTTTATGCTGACTGAAAGCCCTTCTCTTTACTCAATCATAGAAATGACTCCATTTTAGAGTTTATACATCTGAGCAATGACTGCATATGGCCTGTTTGTGCTCTCAAGAGTACAGTGCCCACATGTTGTTACACAGTAGTATGTTTGTTAATAATGAGCTCCTACATCCAGTTAGTAAGACAATATGATTTTAGTGTAAAATAGCAGCCAATGGAAAAAAGAAGCCATTAGTGTGAAAATATCAATGTGCTCAAAAATTTGCAGGTTGGCCTTTTGTATTATTTGACAGTTACTAATGATATTACTCCAGGGCAAAAGATTATATAATGCTTTTCGGGGCCTAATTTTCTGCCCCTCTTGAGTTACTGCTGATCTCAAAGGACTCAAGGCCCCTAGCATATCATGAGTAATAAAAGTCTAATTTCCTTCCAAAGACATTGTATGAAAATCTTACTTTTCACAAAAGATATTAAGAACTTGAAACTGCTACAGTTTCCCTTATCTGAGAGAAATATATATGTGTGTGTGTGTGTGTGTGTGTATATATTTATTTATTTATTTATTTACCTCCCACAGCATGTAGAATAGCTTCAGGTGCACATGTATCCCATTTCTTGCACCCAGGACTGGCATATACATAAGCAGATGCCTTGCCTTCTATAAGCTGGATGACCTGTTGTGAATAGAGTAGTTATCATTGCACAGGCCTTCAGAAAAAAAAAAAAACAGGAGCAGTGATTATTCTATATGTGTATTGTTAGAAAAGGAGCATGAACCATCCCCCCTCTAGATTACTGAAAAAAAAAGTCTTACTAAGATTTAAAAAACTATGATCTATCTTAGATTGTTATAAATTCAGTCTATACAATGAGAATCTACTCAGTTTCAAAGATAAGATTTTGCATCTTGAAATACAAAGTAAATTAAAGTGGAAACTCTTTCCATATTGTATCACAGTGAATATGGCCCTTACATATGCTGGAGAAAAAAAAGGGAGGGACTTGGAGCCTCCAGTTTTTCCTACATGAAGAAGCATGATAAAACTAAGCTCCACATTCTGTAGCAAAAGAGTAATCCCTGGATACTGAGAGGTCTGCAAAAGAAATACCACTGTGGGATGGTTCTATTTCTATCGCTTAATATCTGCTGCTAGATAGTCAGAGCAAAACACCTATTAACCTGAAGAGCAGGAAAAGTTTAATAATGGTGATTAAATTCAACTCCCACTTAGTCATTCTGGGTTTTTAATAATGTTTTCCTTCTCCCCCACCCAAAGAGAGTGTACTAGAGAAATGGACCATAGCTACGACCAGAATGGCCACTCTTAGATACATACATGTAAGAAATTCTGACTACCTCATAGCAGAGTGAGTGCTAGTAAGAGAATTTGTACCAGAGGAATAAGTCCCCTGGACATTCATGCAGTAAACATTTCTCTCAAAATTCTTCACTTTTTTTCCCAACATACTGCCTCCAACCAAAAGCAGACTTGGAGTTGCCATACCTTGTTTCCTGCTCCTCCAACTCTGATGACAGTGTCCGGGTTCAAGGCAGTAATGCAGTCATTTACCAGGGCACTGCTGTGAGAACGGGTGGTAACAATGATGTGTTTTCCAGCAGGTGCTTCTGTGAGCTCAAATCCAAAGGCGCCCATGCCCAGCACTCCCCAGATCGTCCTACCCAGTACAGCATCAG